TCACGCCAGACTGCAAATCCAGTGCAGAGCTTCGTTCACCGAGAAGGTCTTGCGATGAGCAACCTGTCAGCTGAGCTAACCGGGGCGACAGTTGGCCTGCCTCCCAGCACGAGCTCCTTGGCTTGCCACGGACCACGGACGGTGGCCGTGCTAGAGTAGGACTGTCACAGAACATGCATGACGGGATATCTAAACTAGAAGGATCTCACTACAAAAACGACACAAGCATATTAAAGAAAACTTGGAAATAGGGAAACGGAGGGATTCGCCCAACTGAACGTGGTGTGTATTTTGCTAGCTTGACACGGGCTGCACACGTGCGGTTCTGGATCCTCACTCATTTAACTCGCCAGCACGTTCTCGCGTCACAAGCTGGCCCTGGTGACCCGCGCTCTCACAGCTGCATGATTTTCCTCCAGAGAAATGAGGAAGACTGGGAGACCGGAGACCGGAGAGAGTCCCCGCCCGTCCTCTGGTCTGGGCCTCACCTCCTTGCTGGCGCGCTCCTCCTCCAGCGGGGCGGTGTCGTGGTTCTTGTGCTCCTCCAGCAGGCAGGCCGCGCACACGCAGCAGCCCTCCGTGCGGCAGTACAGCTGCCGCAGCTTGTGGTGCTTCCGGCACAGGCGGGTCTTGAGATCCCACACGGGCTCCAGCAGCTGGTGGTCCTGGTACAGCTGGTCCTCCAAGTGGCTTCGTAGGTGCTTCTCGCACAGGGAGGCACTGCACTGCAGGCACGATTTGACAGATTTGAGCTTCTGGGGGGAACAGAAGTCGCAGGGCACGTCCTGGGGCCCCGCCAGGTTCCACAGGGAGCCTGAGGCCTGGCCCCTGGACTGGGTGAAGCAGGCCACCATCTCCCCCAGGATGACATTCTTGGAGAGGCGGGGCCTGGAGGGGAAGTTCTCTCGGCATTGGGGGCAATAGAGCGTCTCGCCCATGGCAGTCTGGTGGTCCCAAAAACCTTGGAGGCAGGTCATGCAGAAGTTATGGCCGCAGGCGGTGGTGACCGGGCAGTGGAACACCTCCAGGCAAATGGGACAGAGGACTTGCTCCTCAAACATGCGGAGATTGTTGCTGTTACTCTTCAGGAGCTGGCCCTGGGGAGCTCTCGAGGGCTGGGCAGGGGTCTGCAGGGCTGGGACCTGGTCCTGGACTGACCCTGGGAAGGCAGAGCGAAGCCACGTGGAAGCTGGGACAGGAGTGGAGTACACCTGTCCTCTTAGTGGCAGCTGCCTGCCCATGGGATGAGGGACTGTGTCATCAGCTAACCCACGTGGGGGACATAAATTGGAGATTGTGTTCTTGTCCCAGCCCTAATTCCTGGAATAAATCCTGGGCAGGAGGGTTGATAGGCAGAAGGAACTTACTCCGGACAAGGGAAAGGAGGAAGGGTCAGAACGCAGGTGCTTACGTGAAACTCTCTGCATGTCAGAGACAGACAGATGCTTTGCTGCCCTGTTATGGGAGGAGAAAGAACCATGGGCACTGGGCAGGCACAGGAGCCTTGTCTGAGCCCCACCCTGCAGATGGCTGGGAGGGTCCCCCTCAGTCCACTGTGCCGCCACCCTCCGTAACTTACATCTCTTGCAAGCTGGTGACCGCCTCCTCACCTTCCCTTTTAGCTGCTGTTTTGCAATCTCCCTGTCGAGGTGGCCCCCTCTTTGAAGACTGCCCAGAGTTTTGCTCCCTGATGTCACAATTCAAGCATGATCAGCCCCAGAATTCTGCTTGTGATGTCAGCAGGGCACAGGTGTGCCACTGGACGTGCCATGGGGCTGAGTCACTCTGCCTCTGCAGGGCTGGATTACTTACTGGCTGCAGAGCCTCCCTGCCAGTGGGCGGGGTAGCTGTTGGCACCTGGGGCGTCTTGCAGTGGACTTGAGAGGGAAGATGGCAACTCAGTGACGGCAGGATCGCGGTCAACTCGTTTAATTTCCCTGGACCATGGTTATTGTCCCGTGAAATCATCGTCACGGTTGTAAGAGATGATGTATTGGTGAAGAGAGGCCCCCTCCTCCCACTCTGCATCCTGGCTGCCTGGCGGGCTTCCTTGTCCCGCTCTCCCCTACCCAGCAGGGGAAAAACACTCTAGAAAGCTCACAGCACCTCACTCTCCTGCTCCCAAGTTCGCTCAGCCCCTCTTGCTGAGTAGAAAGGTGAATAGAAGGCATCCTAGTCTCCTCTCCCCATTGCAGAGAAAACATTTGATGTTTGCTCTGCAGAAGACTGAGGAGATTCCCTTTCATTCCCGGTTTGCTAAGGGTTCTTATCTGGAACGCATGTTGACTTTTACCCACTGTTCTTTCTGCATCTTTTGAGATGATCGTAAGCTTCGTATCTTTTATTCTGTTAACGTGGTGAATTGACACTGATTGATTTTCAGTGATTGAACCAGCTTGCATTCTGCAACGGGCTCTGCTTGGTTTTGACGTGTTATGTTCTTTACAATTACTAATATTAGATTCAATTACTAATATTTTCTTACTAATATTTCTGGATTCAATTACTAATATTTTCTTAGGAATTTTGCATCATGAGTGAGATTGGCCCATAATTTTCCTTTTATGTAATGTCCTTGTCAAATTTTGGTATTAAGGTCTGCTAGCCTCATAAAATGAGCTGGGAAGTATTTATTCTTTATTACTTATTGATAAGCGTAAGATTGACATTATTTCTCCCTTAAAAGTTGGTAGAATTCACCGGCAAAACCATCTAGGCCTGGAATGCTTTTTTTTTTTCTTTTGTGGAAAGGTGCTTAATTACATATTCAATTTTATTAAGAGATTTAGAATTATTCATATTGTATATTTCTTCTTGTATCAATTTTGGCAAATGGTGTTTTCCTATGAATTTATCTATTTCATCTAAATTTTCAAACTTTTTTCTTTTTAGACAGAGTCTCACTCTGTTGCCTGGGCTAGAGGGCAGTGGTGTCAGCCTAGCTCACAGCAACCCCAAACTTCTGGGCTCAAGCGATCCTCCTGCCTCAACCTCCCGAGTAGCTGGGACTACAGGCATGTGCACTATGCCTGGCTAATTTTTTATATATATATATTAGTTGGCCAATTAATTTATTTCTATTTATAGTAGAGACGAGGTCTCGCTCTTGCTCAGGCTGGTTTTGAACTCCTGACCTCACCTCTCAGAGTGCCAGGATTATAGGCATGAGCCACCTCGCCTGGCCTATATATATATTTTTAGTTGGCCAATTAATTTCTTTCTATTTTTAGTAGAGAAGGGGTCTCAATCTTGGTCAGGCTGGTCTTGAACTCCTGACCTTGAGCGATCCACCTGCCTCAGCCTCCCAGAGTGCTAGGATTACAGGTGTGAGCCACCATGCCTGGCCAAGATAATGTGGTTTTTTTGTTTGTTTTTTTTTTTTGAGACAGAGTCTCACTTTGTTTCCCAGGCTAGAGTGAGTGCTGTGACGTCAGCCTAGCTCACAGCAACCTCAAACTCCTGGGCTCAAGCTATCCTCCTGCCTCAGCCTCCTGAGTAGCTGGGACTACAGGCATATGCCACCATGCCGGGCTAATTTTTTCTATATATATTAGTTGGCCAATTAATTTCTTTCTATTTATAGTAGAGACGGGGTCTTGCTCTTGCTCAGGCTGGTTTCGAACTCCTGACCTCGAGCAATCCTCCCACCTCGGCCTCTCAGAGTGCTAGGATTATAGGCGTGAGCCACCGCGCCCAGCCCAAGATAATGTTTTTAAAGTTCACCTATGTCATAGCATGTATTAGAATCTAATTCTTCTTCATGGCTAAATAATATTCCATTGCACAGCTATGTCACATTTTGTTTATGTATTCATCAGTTGATGGGCACTTGGACTGCTGGCTATTGTAAGTAATGCTGCAATGAACACAGGCATAGACACATCTGTTCAAGTCCCTGTTTTCAATTCCCCTCCTCTCTCTGAAGCCAGGGCTGACTCTTGTGTCATGAGGCACTTCCACACCATTTAGCCTCTGGGCAATCCTAGCTGGGAGGACTGGGACTGAGCCCCGCAGCCCCCAGCCAGGATGGGAGGAACTGTGGCCTCTCTTTCATAGTCCATTTATTTTGTAAGTATGTTTTTGCGTGGAGGAAGTTGTTTGTCGCTTTATTTTTTTAAGGCTCTGGGGTGTTGCATGTGGTTTCTTTTCACATCCCAGCCTCCCCATGGGCACTTCCAAGAAGAGAGGGATTTCCATGAAGAGGAGGGGAATCCCTAGAGCAGGGAAATCAGTGTCAGCCAGCTGTCATTCACCCTCCCAAGAAATAAATATCCTCTAAATTAAAAAAAAAAAAGTGCACCTAGGAGTGGCATTTATAATCTTTGTAAAGACAGTATGTTCTATAGTTGTATCTCTGCTTTACATCCTGAAAATATTTGTGTTTTCTTTTTTCTTGTTGAGTCTCAGTAGGATTTTATTCATTTTATTAATCTTTTCAAAGAAATGTCAATGGAAAAGAACCTAAACTCTGTAAAATAATTTAAAGAAGTTTATTCTCAGAGAAATATGTGTGATCATGGCTTAACCACTTCGGTTCAGCGCTCACTGGCCTCGAACCCTTGCCCACAGCTGGCACTCACAGTCCGCACGACAGTTTGTGCTACGCATTGACGACGGGTCCGTTTTGCTCTTGTGTGATGAGGAAAGCTTGAAAGCACTGAAAGCTTGTTTTACTTTACAGGCAGCTTTACTTGTAATGTAAATCACAATAGGTAACATATACATATATGCTTTCATTACGTTATTTTTAAATGTTCACAATTTTATTTTGATCAATGAAAAATTAGAAAAGTCATATCACGGCTGTTGGCTAAAGTCGCTGTGCATGTTCATCTGTGGCTGTCGACTATAGGTGAAGCTGGTACCGAAGTGGTTAAGAAGCCTTCAGCCAGTGGTCTTGCCATAGTTAGTTTGGTTTTATACATTTTAGGGAGACAGGAATTACACATAAAGTTATAAATCAACACATGGAAAGTGTACATTGGTCTGGCCCGAAAAGACAGGACATCCTGATGCAGGATTACAGGTTACAGGTGGGTTAAGATTCTTGTATTTGCAATGGTAAAGAAATGAAGCTTTGTTTAAAGGCTTGAAACAGTTTTAAGTGAAGATAAGGAAGTCTGTTAACCAGAGACCAGCCACTGGACATACACCAAGATTCAGCCACCTGTTAAGTAAATTGATGGCCTGCAGGTGTGGTTTAACTTTTGTCTTGCGTGGCCTCAGGCCTGTTAATGGTTTAGTATCTTATTGTTACAAAGAGTAACTCCAAAGGGGACAGGGACATAACTAGGTGTGTCTAACCTCCCTTGTTTACATGGCCAGCAATTCAGCTTTAAGATTTTTTTTTCTTTGCAGGGAGTAGGGGGGGGTTCCCTTGGCCAAGAAGGGTGAGTAAAAATAAAGAAATATGTGTGTGGGGGAGAATGAGATCGTAGTTTGATTTCTAAAAGAAAGAGAGAATTCTTCTCTCTTAAAAGTAAGTACAGGGCCGGGCGCGGTGACTCACGCCTGTAATCCAGAGCACTCTGGAGGCGAGGCAGGGGATTGCTCGAGGTCAGGAGTGAAACCAGCCTGAGCAAGAGCGAGAACCCTCTCTACTATAATAGAAGAAATTAATTGGACAACAATAATATTATATAAAAATTAGCGGCATGGTTGGCCATGCCTGAGTGTCCCAGCTACTTGGGAGGCTGAGGCAGCAGATTCGCTTGAGCCCAGGGATTGAGGTTGCTGTGAGCTAGGCTGACGCCATGGCACTCACTCTAGCCTGGGCAACGAAGCTGAGACTCTGTCTCAAAAAAAAAAAAAGTAAGTACATGTGCATTTGTGGGTGAAAATACGTGTTTGACTTTTTTCCTTTAAGAAACAGTGTCTCAAATTATTTTTTCTATTTCTTCACAGTAAAAAGTAAAGTGTACACATTCTTTTATATCAATGTTCAAATGTCTCCAATTGTCACACAAATGGCTTTTTTCTGTTGTTAGAGCCACATAAAGTCCTCATGTTGTATTATATTGTTATGTTTCTAAAATTTCTCTAGATTTGTAAGAGTGCCTTCTCCCACTTTTTCCTTTGCAACTTACTTGTTGAAGAAACAGAAATTTACCCACTATGCTTTCCCCTTTCTGGATGTGGCTGGCTAGGTCTCTGTAGTATCATTTAACATGTTCGGCTATTCCCTGTGAGCCGGTGAGATTCGGGTTCAATTTTTTGGCACGTGTCTTCCATACGTGGTGTCGTGCACTTCTGATCGCTTAACACGAGGAAGCACAGAGCGTCTGGCTGTCTCGCCCGGTTCACGCTCATTGTGTGCTGGACGTTGCGTTTGAGAAACTCGAGTGGTAATCTGAGGCTAAGAATGGTATTACAGTCCTTCAGAACAGATTTATGACAGCTTCTGGCAGGAGGCTAGGGAGACCAGAAATCATAAGGCACCTTAGTCCAATCAGGGACTGGGATGCTTCCCAGCTAGACTCCTGTCCCTTTAGATGCCTGTTGTGTTCTGGCTCTGCCTGCTCCTCGGTGTATGCAGTCCCCCGGGCTCCCGACCCAAGGCACGGGGGCTCCTCCTTGGCACACCCTGATCTCCAATATTTGTTCCATGTCCCTGAGAGCTAAGAATAGCTTTGCTAGCTTCTCAGCTTCCTCTACCAGAATTAGCAAGTTCACCACGGAAAGGAGCCTCTAAACGCTGGGTTCGCTTCTCCGTGTTTCTTTCTTCTCCTGGATCTTGGCCCTGTAATTCTTTTTTTTTTTTAAGTACCGCCTGGGCAAACAAACAGTGACAAGTTCTGTTCTC